AGATAATGAGAGTGTCACCAACTTCTGGTTTGGAGAGCAGAGGGGCTATACTCATGTACTCTTTGAGGTTCCTGAATACCTTGGCACATTCCTCCGTCCATGTAATGTACTTCTTATTTCCCTTGAGTGCTTTGAAGAAATGAGCACATCTGTCTGTGGCCTTAGAGATGAATCTAGTTAAGGCTGCCACCTTGCCAGTAAGGCTTTGGATGTCTTTTGAAGTTACTGGCTCTTTCATGTCGAGGATTGCTTTGATCTTTTCAGGGTTAGCTTCAATGCCTCGTTGGCTAATCATGAAGCCTAAGAATTTGCCAGAGCCCACGCCGAAGGCACATTTGTTGGGGTTCAACTTCATTCGATACTTCTTTAGAATAGTGAAAGTTTCAGATAGGTTGGTGATGTGTTGGTTAGCATGTTTGCTCTTGACTAACATATCATCAGCGTAAACTTTCATGCTCTTCCCAATCTGTTCGGCGAACATTGAATTGACCAGTCTCTGATAAGTTGCTCCTGCATTCTTTAGACCGAAGGGCATAACTTTGTAGCAATATAGTCCCCTGTCAGTAGTGAAGGCTGTGTGTTCTTGGTCTGAGGGGTTCATGAGGATTTGGTTGTATCCTGAATAAGCGTCCATGAAGCTCAAGAGCTCACACCCTGCCGTAGAGTCTATAAGTCTATCAATGAGAGGAAGGGGGAAACTATCCTTCGGGCATCCTTTGTTTAGGTCGGTGTAGTCGACACACATTTTCCACAAGACCTTCTGAAGCAGGAGACTTCCCTTGGTCGGATTTTTCTTAACAATGACAACATTTGCTACCATGTTGGGTAATTGACTTCACGGACGAAGCCTATGTCCTTGAGTTTTTCAACTTCTGCTTTCATCGCCTCGTATCGTTCAACATCATAAGATCTTCGCTTCTGTTTTACTGGTTTGGTCTTGGGATCAATACTCAAGTGGTGATAGATGATATCGGGAGAGATGCCCGGCATATCTTTATATGACCAAGCGAAGACCTCAGCGTTCTCTTGCAAAAAGGAGATCAGCGACAACCGAATGGGTGGTGACAAAGTGGTGCCAATCTTCACCATGCGATCTGGATGGTCTTTGGAGATAGAGACATTCTCTAACTCTTCAGTGGGTTGTGCTTGCTGGGTGAATGAGTCATCTCGAGGGTCGTCGGGTTGACTGTTACCATCATGAAGATCCGAGTTGGCTTCATCTGGACTGGTCTTTACTACCTGGTTATGTATAAAGAGGGTCTCCTTGGGGACAGGCAGGTGTTGTTGCTTAACTGAAGTGTTGTAACATGATCGAGCACTAAGTTGATCTCCCCTTATGTATCCATTGCCGAAAGGGGTTGGAAACTTCATCAACAACATATGTGTGGATACCATGGCCTTGAGATCATTGATGCCTATGCGCCCAAAGATGACATTGTATGCCGTCGGGCAATTGACCACTAGGAAGTTAGTGGTAATAATAGCTGTGTAGGGGCCTGTACCAATGGTGAGGGGTAAGTGTATACTCCCTAAAGGTTGCACGATATCGCCAGAGAAGCTTATCAGATGAGAAATCGAGCGATCGAGCAAGTGTTCAGCTACATTAAGTGCCTTGAAAGCTTCAGCAAACATGATATTGACTGAAGCACCTGTGTCTATCAGGATTCGTTTCACATCAAAATTTGCTATGTGAGCCTCCACGATCAGCGGGTCGTTGTGAGGGTAGATGATACCTCTTTCTTCCTCAGGGTAGAAACATATTGGATCCCAGTTAGGCTTTTGATACTTACCTCCCCTGATGTCTTCCACGTGAAACACTTGATGGCCAGGTCTCAAAGTTCGTTCACTGTTTTTCATGGCCCTATTGGAAGATTCAGACATAGGTGTGCCACCGCTTATAGAATATATCACATTCACCTGGCGTTGGTTACGGTTATCCCTTGGAGGGTGAAGGAGGAACTGATCAATTTTTCCTTCACGTGCCAAAGCTTCAATATGATCACGGAGGATGACGCACTTCTCGTCATCATGGCCATTATACTCGTGATAGCAGCAAAACATGCCCGTGTTTTTCGTGGACTTGTAATCTGGCTGTCTTGGCTTTGGCTTTGGTATCAGATGAGCTATACTAGGGTAGATGGCCGCGCATGTAGCGTTCAAAGGTGTGTATGTCTCATACCTCGGGGTAGGGCCTATCTTGACATGTGATTGGCCCACTGCATTGACTGCCTGGGGACGGGCGTTATTGTGACGATATCCTGAGTTATCCCGATAGTGCCTCTTATTCTTTTTATTAAAATGAGATTGGTGAGGATGGAAATCTTTTCTTTTTCCCTGGGATTGATATGTCTGCTAACTTGGCGAAGCATTAAATGAGGCCGGGGGGTGTGCTGCTACCGTTTGGAAGGTTGAGGTCTTTTCATTCGGTTGGATCTGGCCTCCACTCCCTACTTGCTGATAAGGGGTGACTGTAGGGGGTTTCCCTTGATATGTCCTTGCCTCGGCGGAGGCATGGTTGTAAGCTTGTGCCATCACCTCAGAGTAAGTCTTCCAAGTGTTGGCATTGATCATGTACTTGAAGAAACAGTCACGTAAGCCTGCCGTGAAAGCCTTGAGGGCGGTCTTGTCATCTGCCTCAACGCAGCGAGAATACTCATGGCTGAAGCAGCCAGCATACTTTCGTAATGACTCGTCTGGCTTTTGGTGAATAGTGTACAAGTCATATGCGGAATGCAAGCGATCGGTCTGGAAGATGTGTTGAGAGACAAACAGCTTCCTCAACTCTTCAAATGAGTCTACTGTCTCAGGCGGAAGACGGCAATACCAGTTTAAAGCTCCGCCAGAGAGGGTGGAGGGGAAGAGAAGGCACCGTTCTTCGTCGGTGTGTCTCCGGTATACCATGGTGGACTCAAAGAGGTTAAGGTGTTCAATCGGGTCTTCTTTTCCAATATAGAGTTGTAAGCCAAGCTTCTGCTTTGTCTTTGCTTGGAGGGGGGTGTTGAGGATCCTTCTTGTGAGGGGCCCAGGCCTGGGTTGGTTCCAGTCAGGTATCTCGGCTTGACGTTCGGCCTTCAACTTGTTTACTTCCTCCAGGAGCTGTAGGACAAGGGGGTCCTGAGTGGAGTCGTGCACCACTGAAGGTTTCTTCTGTAAGTCCACATCGCCTCTTGTAAGTAGGAAAGTTTGATCAAGATAGCGTGATTTTTCCTTGGACTCGTCACACTGACTCCTAGAGTAAGTATGTCGGAACATTTCCGAGTCCCCTGTACCTTCATGTTCTTCTGGGACTTGTTGCCCATTCCCTAGATTAACTGCTGGCCTGGGTCGTGGGAGAGGACCGAGTCTTTTAGAAACTCTTGGGTCATTGATCTTCGAGCTTATGTGGATGGGATTCTCTTGACGTTGCTTTAGGAAGTCTCGACAATCGCGATAGACGGCTTTTGATCCTTCCACTCCTTCTGTGAATAGGTGTTTTCCTCTGCTCCTTCTGCTTCGGGTTGAAGCAGCTGGGTTGAGAGAAGTCTCATGTTGATTATCACATGTAGCTCGATCCTTATCAGGGATGTCCGTGTTGGATATCGGTGACCCTCCGTGTTGGGGGGCATTCAGATGATTGTTGACCTCAGCAGGGGCGACGAGCTTGTGTGCTTGAGCATGCCTAGCCTCGTGAAGCATCTCGAAAAGTTTTTCATACTGCTCTTGGATAACCTCGTTCCTCATCACTATCTTGTTGTTCTGAGCTTCTAACTCATCGACTTTAGCTTGAAGAGTAACTTTATCTCCTTCCTGCTTTCGTTGCTTCGTACTAGGTCCAATGAGGGTGTCATTCTGTGTGCTATGGCTTCTTTCGCTCCCCATGTCGGAGAGAGATGCTTGGCCAAAAAAGAGTGTACGAGCAGTGGAAACCAGCTTGACAAAGCTGAAGAGAGTGGGAATAAGTGTCAGTTCCCATAGACGGCGCCAAATGTTGATGCACAAAATCAGCGAGGACTTTGGTACAACAGAAAGTGTCAGGTTTGTAACCTTCGCTTGGTTGCTTCGATCACTAGTGAAGATAAGTACGTAAATGAATAGGGACAGGGAAGCAAACACAAGATGTACGTGGTTCACCCAGATCGGCTACGTCCATGGAGTAGAGGAGTTCTCATTAATTGTGAAGGGTTTACACAAATACATAGGTTCAAGCTCTCACTTTGTGAGTTCTAGTGAATAGTTTAGTACAAAATGACATTAGAGATTATTGTGGGAGAATGATCCCTATTTATAGAAGAGAGTTTCTAGTTTTGTTCTAACATTGGCACGTGTCGTGTTGTGATTGGCTTCTGATGATGACACGTGTCGAGCTGTGATTTGCTTCTGATGTCGACACGTGTCGCATTGTGATTGGCCTCCTGGTTGAAGGGAAGCTCTTCTGGGTCCTTGACGGTATAACGTTGACCGGTGCTCAGTAGTTTCGGGATTGGTCAAGTATGGTACAAACAATTGTAATAGTTTCGAACCCTCTCTCACCCTTTAATATTGTAAACCATGGTATAATATTGCCAAAGATAGCTTTACAGAGAAAGAAAGAAGAAGAAAGAAGAATTAAGAGTTTAGACAGAGAAGAGAATTTCATAAATGTATTATCTTTCTTGTTAGTTACAAAATGATTGTTACAAAGCTTATATAGTTTGCATTTGTAGCTTACACTCTAAGCTACACTATAACAAACTTTAACTAACATTGTAATCTCTTGACACATGTCTAATTCACAGCCATAGGATCTTCATACTCCTAACATCCCCCCTCAAGCTCAGGAGCAGAGAAATGCAGCCTGAGATTGGCACAATGAGTCCGAAAAAGAAGGGCAGAGAGACCTTTGGTAAGGATATCTGCAAACTGCTCAGTTGAAGACACAAAGTGCACCTGTAGTTGTTGTGTTGCTACCCTTTCACGAACAAAATGGACATCAACCTCAATATGTTTTGTGCGTTGATGTTGAATTGGATTGCAAGTCAAAGCTATCGCAGACAAATTGTCACAAAAAAGAGGAGAGGTTGCTCAGTAATTGAAATCTGTAGAAAATGCAGCAGAGACTTGAGCCAATCCAGTTCAGTAGCTGTAGTAGATAGTGCCCGATATTCAGCCTCTGTTGATGACCGAGAGACTGTGGTTTGTTTCTTAGACAACCAGGAAATAGGATTAGAACCCAAGAACACCACCATGCCCGTAGTTGATCGTCGATCATTAGGGTCTCCAGCCCAATCTGCATCACTATATGCAGTTATATCAAGAGATCCTCAGACATAGTGAATACCACAGCCTCGAGTAGCCTTTAGATACATGAGGATCTGTTTCACAGCCACAAAATGAGATTCCATCGGTCTTTGCATAAATTGACAGACCTGATGCACTGCAAAAGCAATGTCCGGTCTAGTAAATGTCAAGTATTGTAGGGCACCAACCAAGCTCCTATACAAGGAAGGATTATTGTACGGCTTGCCATCATCGAGGAGCAGTCTATTGTATGGCAAACATGGAGTAGCACATGGTTTAGAGAGAAGCATGTCTGACTTAGTTAAAAGGTCAGTTACATACTTGTCTTGGGAAAGAAACATGTCATCCTTATTCTGCACAATTTGAATCCCCAGAAAATAGTGAAGGGGTCCCAAATCTTTGATTTCAAACTCCTTAGCAAGAGATTGAATAACTTCAGTGATAAATGGCATAGCACTCCCTGTTATGATTATGTCATCCACATATAAAAGCAGGATCACCACAGAATGATCAACAGTTTTCACAAACAAGGATGAATCGGCATATGTAGACTTGAACCCTAAAGATGGTAAAAAAGTCGTGAACCTCTCATTCCAGGCCCGTGGTGCCTGTTTTAAACCGTAGAGGGATTTATGTAACCTGCACACATAATCTTCATGCTTTGGATCAACAAACCCAGGTGGCTGTGTCATATAGACTTCTTCTTGCAATATGCCATGGAGGAAGGCATTCTTCACATCCAATTGTCTCAAAGTCCAGCCAAAATGTGCAGATAAAGCCAAGACTAATCTTACTGTTTGTTGGTTTAACAACAGGACTAAAAGTCTATCCATAATCAATGCCCTCTTCCTGACTAAAGCCTTTTGCCACCAGCCGTGCCTTATATCTCCCAATTGAACCATCATCAATCTTTTTGATCTTATACACCCATTTACACCCAACTAAGTTCTTGTGTTGAGGCAATGGAACCAATGACCATGTACCTTGATTATGGAGAGCAGCAATTTCATCTTTCATAGCATCATACCAAACTGGATATTTGAGTGCAGATTTATATGTGGTAGGTTCCACTTAAGTCAAATCCACACCGCCATTTTCATGAACAGCAGCAAGTAAAGCAATGTTCTTCACAATCCCACACTTTGACCGTGTCTGCATTGGATGTAAATTAACTGGAGGAATAGAGAGAACCACTTGTAGTTGATCAGGTTGGAAATTAGGGACCACAAGGAGTGTAGAGGATAAGGGCTGTGTTGTTGATGAAACAATGAATTGACCATCCAATGAACCGTCTGGACTAGAGCTTGAAACTGGACTTGGGACTGTAGAAGAATCTGCTGAAGAGTGATGTAGACCAGTATTTGGCATAACACTAGATATAGGAGCTGAATCTAATGGTATAGAACCTGATGATGAACTCGAAGTTGAGGGGGAAGATGACTGTGGAACCACAAGAACATTATTTTGATCTGGAACAGGATGTGGGATTGATATATGTGATGGTAGTGGTGAAAAAGAACTAGGATGAGATGTAGACACCAGAGAATGATAAGGGAACTCTGTCTCGTCAAATAAAACATGTCTAGACACATACATTTTGTTTTTTCGAAGCATCATAGCAAAGAAAACCTTTATACTTTGATGCATACCCCAAAAACACACATTTGGTTGTTCGGGGATCTAATTTGGTACTAGTGTATGGCCGCAACCAAGGGTAACAGGAACACCCAAACACTTTCAGATGTTAGATTGTAGGGATAGAGTTGTACAATAGCTGAAATGGAGACTTATTTCCTAATGCAGGAGATGGCATCCAATTAATCAAATATACGGAAGTTTGACAAGCAAAGGACCAGAACAAAGAAGGTAAAGAGGCAGATTGTAATAAAGTGATGGACGTTTCAACGATATGTCTGTGTTTTCTTTCGGCTATCCCATTATGTTCAGGTGTGTGAGGACAGGACAATTGATGCTTTATGCCTTTATCGGATAGAAACTTTTGAAATGCTTTGCCAATATATTCACCACCACCATCACTGTGAAGGATCTTAATGGAAGTTTGAAACTGGTTGAAGATAAAATTGTAAAAGGAAACAAATGTACCGGAAACATCACTTTTATTGCATATGGGAAAAATCCAGCAAAATTTTGTACAATGATCAATGAATGTGACATAATATTTGAATCCTTCTAGAGAAACACAAGGGGCAGGACCCCATACATCACTGTGAACAATGTCAAAGGGGTGTACAGATTTGTCTCTTGAAGAAGAAAAAGGTAGTTTACTAAATTTTCCCTCTAAACATGGTTGACACACAGAGGGATCTTGATCAGCAACACAAGACACTTGAGATGAATTTAAAATTTGAGAAACAATGGTATTAGAGGGATGACCTAGTCGTTTATGCCAAATACTGACTGTAACTTGTTTGCCCAGAAAAGCTGCAATTGTCCCTTTGTTGATAACCGAATGAGACCTTGATGAGATAATAGGATACAACCCATTATGACACAGCCCTTTGTAGAGTATCCTCCATGTGGTTTTGTCCTGAATCCAAAATGAGAAAAGCATCGAAAATCATCCAACAGTTATTATCCAAACAGATCTTATGCACAGATAACAAATTGTGAGACAGTTTTGGCACATAAAGAATAGAATTAAGCCTAATAGGCTGCATTGGAGTTCGAAGAAGACTAGAACCAATATGGGAGATATCTAAACCTGCACCATTAGCTGTTTGAATGATCTCATTTGAAGGATATGGAGTGGACAACAAAAGATTTCCAATTTCAGAGGTCATATGATGATTTGCACCAGAATCAGTGAGCCAAACTTGCTGCTGAGATGGTGCTGATTTAGCTGAGAAAGAAGAGTAAGAACCATTGGTTGTGGCAGCATGAATAGCACTCATTGAGGAGGTTCCATTCTTCTGAAAACAGGTTTCAGGAGTATGATATGGATTCCCACATACTTGGCAACCGGATGCACCACTCATATTTCGAAATCGGCAGGTGTCAGCAAGATGATTGTGCTTACCACAAATTTGACAACCTTGAGGAACATTGGTATTCCTAAACCGACATGAAGATGCCAAATGATTATGTTTCCCGCAAATTTGACAAATCTGAACCTGAAAACCATAGTTCTGAGGTCTTGGCGGTGAAGTACCAAGAATGCCAGGTGCCTGACTTGCATTAAGATTCTTGCTAGGACCATATTTCGGATTGAAGTTGGTTCCAAACCTATTTCTGCCTTTATTCTGATTAAAGGACTTATATGGATTGGAATTAGAACTAACATAATTTCCTCCAGAACTGGAAAAAGATTGAGTCTTGGATGGGAATCCATTGGTTTGTGCCATTAGTGCAGAGAACACCGGCACTGAAGGATTAGAATCAACCAAGACTTCTTCAGCAAGCAATTGAGACCGAAGAGATCTTTCAATGATATCACAGTTTCACGACCCCTAATCACGGATCTTATAGTGTTGAACTCAGCCGGCAGACCATTTAGTGTGAGAATCACTATATCATCATCATAAAAAAAAAAAGACACCAGCAGCAGACAACAAATCTCGAACTTCTTTAATTTTCTGCAGATACACAGTGATAGAATCACTACCTTTCTTAATGGTCTGCAGCTCAGATTTGAGTTGAAATATACTTGTTCGTGTGACTGTGGAGAATTGTTCTCGAAGACGACTCCACAATTCTTTGGAGCTAGTACTCCCAATGGCACATGAAATCGCAGCCGAAGACAATGTTGAAGTGA